TCTCAAATTATGTTACATAGTGCTATCAGTGTAGCCAGAGCTTTCCTAGCTGCATATATGACAGACCTATCCAATGGTTCTCAGGTTTTTAAAACTCACGTATTAATTCAGCAGCAGTACAATGTTTATTATTATGACAGCCAGTAAAGCTTTGGTGGTTGCACATGCCATTCATGTCTTTGGATCAAGGACAAAGATATTGTGTTTTTCAACCCTGTTGTTCTTTCACATAAATGACATACTTACTTTTGGCATTTAGTTAGTACAAAGTGCATTTATTCTATGGGATTATTTTTTCCATAAAGTTTCCATAAACCTCTGTATGACATCTCTAATCCAGTTCTCTTTGGATACTGGGATGTACATTCTGGTCCTTTTTGCTGAAATGAAGCAGATAAACTTTCTTATGAATATGAATGCACAGTGTATATTCTCAATCAGTTATTGTGCTTCCTAGACCATGTTTACCTAGCCCCATTCTTTTGTAGTGCACTAGATTTAGCACTGCCCCACATTTAATCCATTTGGTGCCTCTGCCAATTCTTGACCCCTTGAAGTGGCATGTGCAGAAGGAGTTGAGGGCTCCCAGTGAATATTTGCTTGGATATAGTCACTTGTACACTGTTTAAACGTTGTTTATACCCATAGAATAAAATGTGCTTTCATTTTTATTAACAACTAACACTTAACATTTTAGTCTGCCTCAACTATATTTTATGTTCACATCCTTGGCAGTCCTTTAGCGAGTATGTTTTCTAATCATGATATTTGCCTGTCAGTAAATACTGGAGAGACAGAAGTGGGCTTCTTACCAACATTTGGGCCCTGTTACCTCAACCTTTACGGAAGTCCAAGAGAATTCACCGGATTCCCAGATCCATATGATGAGCTGAATTCTGGAAAGGTTAGTTTGTCTTTTAAAATATATTTCAAGCATCTGGTCTACTATTTGTAGTTCTGTTCCAAACTTCATATTGTTTAGTAGTCTGTTCCACATGGTCTTTTTTTAAAGGTTCCCAAATAAGTTATTGATCTATATAGAAATAAGTTTTTCATCATTTCATTTATTATCTTTCTCTGTTTAATTATGCCAAACACCACGTGGACTTAGCTGGTTCCATCAAACTTAGTTTGAAAATAAAAAATAGCAAATATATTGGAAGAGGAGAATGCATTTCTTCAAACTGTGTGTGTTTGCTACCTTTGGACCAAAGGTGGTTTGAAAAAAACATAGCCCTTAGAATGCCAATTTGATTATTAATTATGGCTAAAATGTAATTGTGTTTACAAAACTTTAGCTTGCCTCTCTGTTGGGGAATCTGAGCTGTTAGGCTCAAAATAACCCTCACTTTGGGTGATTCTACCATAAATGAAGCACAATACCAGAAGTAAACTTCATAGCCAGCAGAAACTTATGTGTGATGAAACTGGGATAGCCTTCTATTCTTAGGATAGCACAGGATTGCAGAGTCAGAACTTTAGATTCAAAAATATTTATTGAAGTAAAAGAAATAAATTCTTGATAGAAAGAGGCAAAATGTGCACCCTCATAGATAGAAAAGCAGAAGACTGAAAAATGGTGAAAGGCCACAGTCCAGGGATGAAACCCAACACTCTCTTCAAATAAATCAGAGAAATAACCATAGAACAAGTTCTCGGGGTGAAGATTCTTTCATTCCCCATCTCCAGCCGCCATGTTTAGCAGCAATGCAACAAAACCTTTGGAATTTTCCTCTAATCATAATAATAAGAAGTATTGTTACGTTATTTATAACCCACTTTCTCTCTCTACAAAAGAGAATCAAAGCTGCTTACAGTAAAACCAAATGAAATATAATTTAAAACCAAAAGTAAAGGTAAAAGTTTCCCCTAACATTAAGTCTAGTCGTGTCTGACTCTGGGGGTTGGTGTTCATCTCAATTTCTAAGCCGAAGAGCTGGCGTTGTCCGTAGACACCTCCAAGGTCACGTGGCCAGCATCCCTTGGCTGACACTAGCCCTGTGGTTACTCACAAGGCGTCTCTTTTTACCCTGGCAGCACAGAAAATCCGACCAAGACAAATCTCTGATATTGCAGTTGACTGTGCTGGGGATGCTTTTAACTAATAGTGTCTGTTTATCTAGCTTTAATAATGCTGTATCTATTTGCTTTTACCTGGTTTATAATTACGCAGGTGCGAGTCCATACAGTATCTAGTATTTTAAAGGGTGCATCTTGCCATCAATATATATAGCATTTTAATGATTTATAGGATTTTAATGTGCATTTTATATTGTATTTAATAATCTGGTTTTCATGTATTTATCTATTTGCCTTGTATGTGAAAGACCTATGGTCTAAGCATCGAACAAACAGACGTACAGCAGGGAAAACCAACATATACCAACATTAAAATAGAATTAAATATTAGTGGTATTAAAAAGTAAACAGTTACAATCCTTAAAAAACTGATTTAAATTATTCAAAACCAAAACCATAGCACCCCCTGACTTAATCTTTTAAAAAGCCCTTCTGAGGAGTGGTTTAAGGAGCTGGGCATGTTTAGCCTGAAGAAGAGAAGGCTGAGAGGAGATATGATAGCCATGTATAAATATGTGAGAGGAAGCCACAGGGAGGAGGGAGCAAGCTTGTTTTCTGCTTCCCTGGAGACTAGGACGCGGAACAATGGCTTCAAACTACAAGAGAGGAGATTCCATCTGAACATGAGGAAGAACTTCCTGACTGTGAGAGCCGTTCAGCAGTGGAACTCTCTACCCCGGAGTGTGGTGGAGGCTCCTTCTTTGGAAGCTTTTAAACAGAGGCTGGATGGCCATCTGTCAGGGGTGATTTGAATGCAATATTCCTGCTTCTTGGCAGGGGGTTGGACTGGATGGCCCATGAGGTCTCTTCCAACTCTTTGATTCTATGATTCTAAAGGCTGCCTGAATAAAAACAAGATGTCTAGAAGGGAGTCTGTGTAGCTTATTTTCAAACATAATCTCCCTTTCAGACATAGAATTATAGAATAACAGAGTTGGCATAGTCTTTTTTCTTCAAAGGAAATTCTGGGGCGTTTTTGTTGCTGAAGCATCAGAATTCAGTGGCACAGAATCCAATTGGGGGCAGTAACTGAGGTCACATATGCCAAAAGCAAGTATGGGTATACGTGACCTGTGCGCCCCATGTTGCAGAGCCCAGCTGTAGAGCAAGCCAGGGGTTATTTCTCTAGGCTGCTGCCAAATTGTCATATTGGACCATTGTGGTAAATAAACCACTGATGGGAGATCCATAATTTGCTCAGCTGCTCCTGTCGAGGGCGATGGGGCAGCAGGTATCGGCACGCTACGTCTCCCGGGCTCATTCCCAACAAGCCAGACCTCTGCAGAATTCTGGCTTGTTGTTCCGTGTGAACACGGTCTACAACTTGTTTGGAAAAAATAGCTGTGTTTCACGGCTTCATGACTTCATTGTCGAGCATAATTTGTTGACTATTGCTTCTACACCAAGCCAAATTATATTTTAAAAAGATTTCAGCCTTACATTAATGGTTCTTTCACATGCAAATTAATAGGTTGGATATACAGAAAAGCAACCAGCTCTGATGGCATGCCTGCATTTTTCCCATGGGGGCTCTGCTGCACAACAAAACGCTAATGTCCAGCACACACTAATGGCACGAGAAGGAATAGTGACAGGGAGTTTTACCCATTCACGACACAGCATAGTGGCTCTTTGGCCAGCTGTCCTTTTTAAGCCTCCAGCTTACAAAGGAATACACCACTTTCTAAAGGCTTTGATTCCAGATGTCTCTTTCAAGTAATAATGCTATCTGAACTCAAAATGAGGTGTTGTGACCCTTCGCAAATGTCCCCAAATACTGTTCTTTATCTGAAGCCAAAAATACTTGTGCCTGTTTACTATACATGGAATGCATAATGTCTAAATAAACCATCTCGGGAACACAGGCAACTTTCCACCTGCATATCCTTGGCTGACGGAGACGCACACAAAATTGACCCCTGGTCCAATTCAGAAGCCAGGACCCTGTGCGTGCATAGCTTTGTAAAGGAAGCTGGAATCGCAACAATAAGCTGTTTTGGAAGTATGACAATGAGCTGAGTTTATTCCTCACACCGCTTCCTCCTTGCCAAACAGTTAATTTGATGAGAATCAAGCCTCTTGGAAGGATGCTCAGGAGCAATAAGCTACAAGCCGAACATTTTGCATTCAACCAAATACTGAAATACGTTTTATAATCTTAGTAGTAAAACCAGGATGAGATGTCTCTAAATATTTTGTCA